TTTATTTATTTATTTATTTATTTATTTAAGGGGTAGAGAGAGAGAGAGCAAGTGAGCACAAGTGGGGGGAGGGGCAGGAGGAGAGGAAGAAGCAGACTGCCTACTGAGGCGAACTCAGGGTTCCATCCCAGGACCCTGAGATCATGATCTGAGCTGAAGACACTTAACCGACTAAGCCTCCCAGGCATCCCTGAAATACTGATTTTAAGTTAGTGGCAGGGCACACATATGGAAATATCTAGTGATACCAATTTTAAATATATTCTCATAAAATGTAATTGTGATAGCTAACACTTATTGAACGATTTCTATGTGCCCAACACTATTCTTTATTCTTTACCTTCATTAACGCAGTGATACTCTCCAAGTCCCACTTTACAATAGAGAAAACTGAGGTACAGAAAGATGTTATAAGGCTGCAAGATGAATCAGCTAATGAGTTTTGGAGCTTAGGTACCGATCCAGGTAGCTTTAGTATAGAGATCATCTTGAATTACAGTTATATACATATTGATATGTAACCTTTCTATGTTTGAAATATCTGTGTGTATGCATACGTGTTTACTGGGGTGTTTGGTACATATTGGTTAAGGATTCATAATCTTATTTAAAATTGATGCTTATGGGAGACATAATCTTCCCATTTCTGAACAATTACATGGTGTGTCCAGATCTGTGCAATGCATATTGGTCACTTGTGGAAGATTATCTCTAACAATAATGACCAGTGGATGTTCAATGTCAATGGATAGGAAATATCATCAAATGGAATTCATCCCTGATTTTCTATCATTCTCTATCTTGTTTGCTTGCTGCTGATTCTTTGTTCTGCACCTGCATCAAAATAAAACCTGTACCTATTTTTGCATTTGCATAAATTAAGCTATTTTGGATTTCTGCCCAGATTCCACAACATATGAGCCCTACAGTATATCACCTACACCTGTGTATTTGTTGGGTGACGTAGACTGGGACATTTCCAGTTGTCCTAGAATTGGTGGCTATAGTACCTGCTGGGAAGTGGTTTTAAGCACCTGACATTCTAAAGAGAGCTGCTAATAAGTAGGGTTAGACACATAGCTCAGGTTGGAGAACTAGGCCTGCTCCCACTCTAGTCCTTTTGAGGACTAAATAAAGAGATGAATTAGAGGAGAGAGAAAGAAAATAATGTCTTGTCTAGATGGTAGCTAGGGAGGAGAGGAGGGTAGCTCGCCCCTCCCCATCGCTAACCAAGCAACAGGGGTTGGGCGTGTTCCAAGAGAATCGGTCTTAGAGATTCTGGGTGGTACCTTAGTCCCTCGGGGGTGTCTACTGACCTGTCTGTCCCACCTGGTGCTGCCCCTAGTAAAGGTGAACACTGCAAGAAAAACTTCTACACTGTCTCTGTACGGACTTCATGTCTGTGTGCTCCCAAATCCATATGTTGAAAGCCTAACCCCTAAAGGGAGGGTATTAGGGGGTGGGGCCTTTATCAGGTTCTTAGGTTATGAGGGTGGAGCCCTCATGATGGTATTAGCGCCCTCATAAGAAGAGACACAAGACAGCCTGCTTTTTCTCTCTGTGTTCTCTCCACCATGTGAGGACACAATGAAAAGACAGCCAACTATAAACCAGGAAGCAGGCCCTCACCAAACACTGAATCTGCTGGTGCCATAATCCTGGACTTCACACCTTTCAGAACTGTGAGGAAAAAAACCCATTTTCCATTTAAGCCACCCAACCTATGGTATTTTTGTTATAGTAGCCTGAGTTGACTCAGACAGTCCTGTATCATCAGACACCACCAGCAGGCTACAAACTGAGCCGAAATAGGATGCGAGATGTCTGCTCAACATGGACAGTCAGTCCCAGGGAACAGCTCTGCACATCCCCAAACCCCAGCGTCACCCCTCCTTCTTCCAATCATATTCTTGAGATTAATGGATTGACAAATTTAACACTTACAGAAGCGCTTTCTATGTGTTCGGCACTGTTCTACATGACCTACAAGTACCGACTCATCTACTCTGCTTCACAATCCTGATGAGATAGAATACTCTTATTTCCACCGTACAGATGAGGAAGCCAAGCCATACCGAGGTTAAGGGTTTTGCTCAAAGTCACACAGCTAGGGAGTGGTGGAATCGGACTGCAGCAGGCAGCTGTTGTTCTTAACCTTGAGGCTTCGCCTTCACCATCCCTGCTCACTCCTCGCCCCCAGGCTGCACGCTCACGCACCCTCCAATGCCAGGGCGAGAAGACATGGAGTCCCTGCCCCACTCAAAGATCCTCAAGGCATAAGCCTGGCTGGTATGGCAGGAGAGGAAAGCCACAAGATTTAAATCAGGGACAAGAAGGAAGGGCAGGAATTCTCAACGGCCCTACCCTGGATTTGTAGTAACCCCAAACCATCATCAAACTACCAGAGTTTCCCAAATGTAGTTCAGGGATAGGAATTTCACAAAGGAATTTAAAAGCAAGCAGTGTGGGGAAACATAAAACTGTCCCACGTTTGTACCTTCTGAGTTCAGACTGCTCCGTAAATCGCTCACTTACAGAAATAGCCATTGCGGGGATCACGTATTCCCATAGCTTAGTCAGACCTTCGTCATCACTCACCCCTAGCTCTTACCTTGCTGAAATACAGAGATGATCCAGATGAGATGACCCCACACCCTTGTTCTGGCTTTACAATTTCTCCCCCAATGACTTCTTGCCAGTCAGACTCCCAACCATTCTGGTTCTCAAAATCCGACATGATCGTAGAAGGAAGGGCAGCTTCCGGGCGGCATTCGGTGCCTTGGTATCCCTGGTCACACCTGGGAGAGAGGAAGGGCCACGTAAAGTCACAGCCTCTTTTCTGGGAGTGCCACGGCCACGCACCTGCATTTCCCACGTCTCCCTTTTGCTCAGACCTTAGCATTCACACGAGATTTTTCTCCACAATGTCAATCTGTGTATGTGGTCGTAACAAGCTTCAGTTTTTGACATTGAAAAGAAAAAAGGACAGAATCTTTTCTTAAAAGAAATGGTGCTGTAACAGCAGAATCGAAGCATCAAGCAGTAATGAGGGAGGAGATGGGTACATGCGTGCACGTGCGTGTGTGCGCGCACGTCTGTGCGTGTGTGTGTGTGCGCGCGCGCGCGTGCGTATCAGCGACAGGGCGGGGTGGCGTGGGAGGAGAAGGGTGGGATCTTCCTGTAGATATTGAGAGTCACATGGAAAGGTTTGCTCATCCGACGTGTAGCTCTGGCCATGTTTTATGGCTCCTCTTTCTGATTAAATTCCGTCTCTTTTAGAGTCTTTAAGTATTCAGGTGTGTTCCTTTCTCATCCTCATTAGCGATAATCACCGTCTCCCCCTGCCTACAACCTTGAGCTTCGGTCACGCGGCGCAGGAGAGCGCGCAGCAGCTGTCTGACTTGTGTTTTAAGACTGTCAGGGGAACGGAAGGGAAACAAACAACAGTGAGGCTCTTTTAACCCCAAAGAGGACTTTGGGGTTAATTAATAAACTCTGAAAAATTTAAACCCAGGAGGCCTCGTCTTGAGGTGAGATTTTGAAGTTTAGGATATACAGATTCAGACTTCACTTAAAATGTAACAGCATCTTTTACACCTAAAATAAGAGCAGAAAGGAGGATCGTTTTCCTTTTGGCTCCTTCATTATTTATCAGTCTGTCCGTACCGCTCTGATGACAACGGCCGTGCTATCCCTCTGAACGCAAACCCCGAGAAGCAGGCAATCGATCACACGTGGCGGTGTGTGTACCTGCACACGCCGTGGTCACATGAGCCGTGCCCACTGCACATGTTTGGGCATTGCTGGCCAATGTAAATGCTGTCCAAAGCCCACTCGTCTTGGGCTGTGTAATAGCTCTGACTCCAGCGGAAGCGTGTGGCACTGGACCTAGAAACAAGGGACCGGAGCGAAAACAGTATTTTAGCGGACACACGGTAGAACGAAGAATGTCAGAGTTCAGACTCTTTCAGATGACTAACTTTCTGGAACTTGCATTTAGCTGCCAATCATTTTTCTTTGGTAGTTGAAAGTCTGTCTACTCAATTATTAGCGATCATGACGAAAAGTTAAAAAGGAATCTGGATATATACCTCCATCTTAATTTAATTTGCGACATTTTGAAGAAAAACAAAATACCAGATTTTTTTGTTGTTATGCAGAGATTTGATGCTAGGAAAAGCAAGCAAGAAAGAAGGAATATTAAAAAAATTTAAAAAAGGTATATACAAAAGAGCCTCTCTTCCACAGAGGAAAATGTGAGGTGTTTCAATCATGGTAATGAAATTTCTTTCAATAAATAAACAGCAGTTATTGGAAAACTCCCAGTGAGCTCTCAATATAAAACAAAACTTTTGTTTGGGGGTATTTTTTTGGGCTTGAGGGACATGCTACAATGTGCTCTAAGAAGAACATGTTCTAGAAGTAAGAACATCTGGGTGCTAAATTCTGCTGATTATTTCAGAAACATTAACTTGGGTAGGTTTCATGGACAAGCTGATGTTAAGTGGAAACAAAAAGCTAAACAGTCCATTACACATAGAGAAACACTTTAGACCTTGATTCGTCTAAACCAGATGGAAAGTCTAAAGAAGAGAGTATTTTGAGAGCAATTCAAGAAAGTTTCCATCCACTGACAGTCACAAAAAATTCTTTTCAATTCCCATCATATTTTTTGCCTCTAGAAATTTTCAGAGATTGTGATTAGTTCTTTTTGGTCAAAGTGCAAAACAAAAGAAAACAAAAAGGATTTGCAGAATTCACGTGCATGCTCCATTCCATTGATTAAACCCTCCCTAAGCACACTGTCTACACATACACTTGATCTGAACTGCTCTGAATGATCCCTTAACGTCTACTGCATCAATTACCCACATATTAAATACTCCCTAAGTATGTAACAGATTGTTAAAATCCAGACTAAGCCTTGATTGTTTATTTTGCCAATGATCTGTGGCTAATATGTTGCATTTTCATTCCTAGTAGGATAATTCCAGGATGCATCCAGGACACACTGATTTGCTGCATATCAGCACTTGTCAAGATATATGCAATGACAGAGATACACCTCCTCTACGGTAATAGTTTATATTTGAAATCTAATAGCCATCACAATTTTCATAGTCCCATTAAGAAATGGTTTGTAGAAGATCCTACTATAAAAGTAGGTACACTGTTTTAGAGCATGGAGCCCTACAGAGGAGAAGCAAATTAAGTTTCATGCAAAGGAAAGATGACTGTATCTTGTCAGGACTGATAATCTGAGTCAAGTCTGAGGCCACAGGTGTCTAGACTGTGAGCTCTTTTGGGGACAGAGCTATCTTTTGTCTCAACAGTTTGCACAGGAACAGAATTAAGTAGGTGTACCAAAAGAGACTGCTAAAAAAATGAGTCAATAAGTGGATGAACAGGCCAGGAAAGGGCAGCCTGTTTCTGCCTTCTGTAGGTAATGGAGTAAAGAATGTACTAGGGGTCTGGGGACTTGGCCCCTTGGACTCTAGCTCTGCAATTTATCAGCTGTGTGACCTTTAGTGAGAAATTCAAGCCTTCAGGCTTTCTAGTTCCTCACCTCTCAAACAAAGGGATTGGGCAAACCAATTTCTAAGATCCCTTCTAGCTCGTAAATTTAGTGATTGTTCTGGTGGTTGTTGACTGAGATGATGGTTTATTTCCTATCTAGTCACATGCCTACGTGAAACCCATGGCATACATTGTTTTGAAGTTTTGATATTTCAAACATTAAAATGGGGTGGGAGGGTTTCAGACATGTCCCAGATTTCCCAGTTTATGTATGTTTCTGAACAGTCACGTAAACACATTCTAAATTCTTTTACTAAGTAAATTAGTCCTTACGTGCATCTTGTGAACTCTTGAAAAAGAGACTATTTCCTTAAGATAAAAAGCTTAAAGTGGATTTTTCCATTTAAAATTACAATCCACAGTTTAATGTGCTGATGTTAATTAACAGAAAAGGAAGCAGAAGAGGTTGAATATTGGCTTCGTTTTTAGTGAGAAAAAAAAATTAGCTGTGTGAGCAATCTCCAGCTGGTCACACATGAGAACACAAGGTGTGATCTCACTGATTTGCAGCTGCATCACTGCTAAATATTGCCCTCAATACAAATATTTAATTTGCCAACCCCCCCCCCCTCAGATCTAAGCATTCTTAGAAGGAACATTTTGTGTGCTTCGGATTGGGTCTGAAAGTGGGACCATTGCTATGTGGATCATGAAATGAAGTTGACTTGCATTTAAAACCCAAACTCTATGGATTCCTCAAAGCAACAAAACTTGTCAGTCTTGTCTTTGATTTTTTTCCCATATAAACTTCTAGACTGAATTAAAATAGCATCGAGTCATCTCTTGGTAGTTAGGTATTAAGGTATCAAGGCTGAGGAACTGAGGTAAATGAAGGCTGACTAAACTGTATTTTCCACTTTCAGAGTTACTATAATTACATTTGCCCAATTTTCTGAAACTTATTCAGTCATTAGGTGTAGATTTGTTTATGAAGTAGCAACTGACAGCTGTTTGGGTCTCATTAGGCCCTGTTCTTATGTAAATGCTCTCATAAAAACAAAATTAATTTTCACTGGGTAACAAATGTTCAGTTCATATACAATATAATTTCTCTAAGCAGGTGTATATATATTCAATATTTCCACTCTAAGTTGTCCTATCTAGCATATTTTCCAAAGTTAACAGATTTTTGGTAATGTGGGGACCACATTTGCTTGTGTGTATTCAATTTAGAGTTGTGTATGTGTGAATCAAAGCAGCAGAACAAAGATTTGCCAAAAGGAAAACTGCTTAAAACTAAACTGCACTGTTTTCCCCAATGCTTAAGAAAAACATGCTATTTGCAAAAGTTTGAAATGAATATAATAAAGTTATCAAGAATGCCAGGGATACTAAATGTACTTCATCCTTATAGCAGAGCTTTTAAAAAACATTATAAATCCCAAACCAATGATAATAACCAGATGAACACTTTTTTTTTTTATATATAGCAATCATGTTTAGTTTAAATATTAGCAGGAATGTTAAAAGAAAATATCTTATTGGGTTTGTTTGTTTTTAAAAAATATTTTACTTTCGGGGCGCCTGGGTGGCTCAGTTGGTTAAGCATCTGACTTCAGCTCAGGTCATGATCTCAGGGTCCTGGGATCAAGCCCACACTGGGCTCCCCGTTCAGCGGGGAGTCTGCTTTTCCCTCCCTTTCTACCCTAACCCCTCTCCCTGCTTGTGCTCTCTTGCATGTGCTCTATCTCTCTCAAATAAATAAAATCTTTAAAAAAAAGAATAAGTTTATAACATTTCTGGGGATGAAAAGACATCTCTAAGATACACTATCAAGATGAACTTACCATCATAATTTTGAAATTATACCTTACATGTCAATAAATAAAAATCAACATTTTTAAATAATGAGGGTGATACACTTAATGGTGAAATAATCATAAAGAAAAAACCTCAGTAGCTTTACAGCAAGTATGACTACTATTTCAATTGTTTGATCTGTTGCTTTTTTATAATCATGATAGATATGCTTGGAATACCATTGAAATTAAATACAAATCCTGATTATATTCCCAGCAGTAGACATAAAAAAGTAGGATGTTAGAGAAAGTAGCAACTTGTTATACAAAGCATTAACAGAATATCTAGGAAATGGCTCACAGTTGGATATAAAAAAACCTGTGGAAATCAAATTTCAAGCATTTTATTCCAACTGACATAATGATGAATCCTTAAAAATAATCAAGGAGACATTCTTCTATAATTCAGTAATTCAATCTCCAACTAAAGGACGTGTAATAATAATTCTGGGTTGTTATCTAACCAATTGTTTTGTGTAGAGCCTAGCTTCCACGTAAAATAATCGAAGAAGGGTTTATTTAGTAATTTTCTCTTTACAAAAGGGGTCTTGGAAGGCTGATGCCACAGAAAAATACAATTCTTGTCTCTTTCATGTTTTTCCTACTACCCACATCACAGAATCTTAGAATTCCTGAACTGAGAGGGACTTTTAAGATCATCTAATTAAACTTCATTCTACTCATGAGAAATCAGGCTTGAAGAGGTTGTGAATCGTTAAAATCATGTGATTAATTAATCACTGGTAAGGATAGACTGAGAGCTTCTAATTTCTAGTCTAATTTCTAGTCTAAGTTTCTTTCTTGGGCAAGCTTATCCTGTCACAGGGCTTCAAACAGTACTCATGGTATTTAACGCTTCAACCCAAACCTCTTTTCTGAGCTCCAGATGTATAAGTCCAGTTGGCTTCTCGACATTTCTGCTTGGATAGATAAGTATCTTAAACTCCGCATCCCAGAAACAGAACACTTCATTTCCTGCCCCAAATCCACTCCTTCTCCAGGCTTCCCCACCTCGGTCAGTTTACCTAGGCCTCGGATTTACAAACTGGTTTTGATTCTTTCTTTTCTACCACAGCTCCCACGGAGTGCATCAGCAAGCCCTATTTGATTAAAATATATTTCACAATGACGGCTCTTGTCTTGTCTGCTACAGTCATACTCCAAGCCACCTAAACATGGAATGCCTGGAAACTTCTAACTCAACTCCCTGTCTTCACTCTTTCTCCTACAATCTATTCCTCACCAGCAGATGCCCAGAGCAATCAATCTAAAAATTATGTAATATTTAGGGAAAAAAAGTGTTTTTCTCTTAAACATTATCAAATATTTAAATTTCTCCCTAATTACTGAGGCTTTAGCTTCTTGGGGGATGATTTTTATGGTTACTGAGAGAATGAATAGTAAAAAAAGTGTGTATTAAGCTTTTGAAATAAAAAAGTAGGGCTTTGCAGCGAGAAAACAGCCTTGAAATGCAAATTGTCTTGACATAGGAGATTCTGGATGCTGTATCCTTCCCTTTCAACATATGTCAAACCTAAAGGAACAGCTCATTGAGTTGGGGCAGAAAGGGAGGTCAGAAAAAGCTAGGACATAGAGGGTATTATGCTAAGTGAAATAAGTCAGACTGAGAAAGAAAAATACCACATGATTTCATTCATACGTGGAATCTAAAATACAAAACAGGGGCCCTGGGTGACTCAGTCGGTTATGCGTCTGCTGAGGTCATGATCCCAGGGTCCTGGGATTGAGTCCCCACATTGGGCTCCCTGCTCAGCGGGGCATCTGCTTCTCCCTCTCCCCCTCCCCTTGCTTGTGCTCTCTCTCTCTCTCAAATAAATAAATAAAATCATAAAAAATAAAATGCAAAACATTGAATAAACAAAAAGCAGAATCAGACCAACAAATACCGAGAACAGACTGTTGGTTGCCCCGGGGTAGGGAGGGTGGAAAAAATGGGTGAAGGGGAGTGGGAGATACAGTTTTCCATTTAGGGAATGAATAAGCCACAGGAATAAAAGGCGCAGCATAGGGAATGTGGTCAGTGGCATGGTAGAAGTACTTATGACATACATAAGCATAAGGTACAGAGTTGTCAAATCACTGAGTTGTACACCTGATGTACTAATGTAACAGTGTGTCAACCATACGAAAATTAAAAAAAAAAAAGTAGGACAAATGAGGGCTCTAGAGGGAAGGGGGTGGGGGGATGGGTCAGCCCGGTGATGGGTATTGAGGAGGGCACAGTCTGCATGGAGCACTGGGTGTTACACGCAAACAATGAATCATGCAACACTACATCTAAAACTGATGATGTAATGTATGGTGATTAACATAATAAAAAAAAAAGTAGGACAGTTTGGGAATCAAATTTTCATTAGTTCTATTTTTCAAATATCCTCAATATAAAAGAAAGATCTGGGTCTTTTGATGACAAAGAAAATTCATCTTGCCATGGTGCTTAACTCTTCTTCATATTCAAGTCGCGCTAACAGAGATGGTAAAAGTTAAAGTCACTATGGATGTCATCTCTCACCAAGTTTTCTGGGGAAGAAGCACTATGACTCTTCTCCACTGCGTGAACTCACTGGCATGGTAAATACTTGCTGAGGTGAATTCCTGACAACTCGGCATACTTGGAAGACATTCCTAAGAGAGAGGAAGGCAAAAATTAAACCTGGCTTCTGTTCCTCCAGGGACAATGTGTTGACTCACTCACCATAAATGCAAAAGGCCTTAGAGAAATCTAATGTCATAATCTTAACTATTTGCAATATGGATGCAATCCATGATTCTTCCTTCTGTGAAGCTGAAATATTTGGGAAATAACGGGGAAACAAGTGTCACCATGAAATTAAATGTCTTTTAATTCTCACATATAAAAATGGACATGGATTAGGATCCATATTTTGACCTTTTATCATAACACTGGCATTTGGCAAAATTATTCTAATCACTGTGCTATTTATGCATGTATTGTAATGTCAGATCACCGTGTATATAAAGAAGTACAATTTGATCCTAAGAATCCGGATCTATGTATTTCTTTCTTCTTTTTTTAAAAGGCAAGATGTGCCAAATTTTTAATATGGACTACCTACAGGTAAAGAGAGTTAGAAAAGAACAGATAAAGACATGCTATAGGGAGAAAAGAAAGAGAGGAAGGAGGAAGGAAGGGTTAGAGAAAATTTATGGAGGAGGAGGGTTAGAGAAAATAATATTCCAAACACCATCCTAGAGTACCCAGTCCTGAAGTTATTCTCATTTCTTTTTTATTTTCAATTATAATTTAGTATCTGATAGTGCAGAATGTGGAATCCTTATTGCTGACTTGACTTCAACGCTAAGTTACAAATAACATTGTTCCTTTTGAACCAAACCTAAACTTTTGGAATTGTAACTCTCTGCTTCCTATGTAAAAAGGAGGAGCCTACAAGCATTAGAAAAAACAGACTTACCTCTTGGACCAGGTGCCAGGTGAGGCCGTGATTGTTTGAGTACTCCAGCTTCACCTGGTTGTCCATGTGCGGAGTGTATTTCTGGCCACAGCCCATCACCAAACTGAACTGAATCATATAGGATGCTCCTATCTGCATTGACTGTGTTTCCACATAGCGCATACTTGACGCAAGTTTAGAATCTCCCGTGAAACTGAAAGACAGAGGTGGGAATCAGAAGATTAAAAACAGCGAAGTATTAAGGGAAAACTAGGCTCTTCATTTCATACCATACACCAAAATAGCTTCATTTTGCTTGTTTAAATCTTGCCAAGCTCGAGAATGGGTTTCAGTCAATCTAATAAATGCAATTAAAACAACCTGCCTATCAAAGAAGCAATGTTTTTTTTTTAAATACCTAGAGTTGTCAAATATATTTAAAAATGGGTACTCACTCATACATCGTTCATGAGTGTAAACCTTTTGACTCATTAATCTCACTTCTTAGAATCTATACAAAGGAAATAATCCTAAATTCAAGGACAGTTTTATAAAATATGAATATTGCAGGTCTACTTATAATAGTAATTGGTAACCATTTCAATGTCAAACTACAGGGAAAATGGAATCCTTAAGTAAACTGGGATAGACACTTGACAGATAATCCATATTTCAAATATTTATGAAGGTAAGGTAATCACATTAACATGCTTATGAGAAAATAAATTTTTAAAAATCCACAAAATGATGCATAAAGGAAATTCACCAGAATGTTTGCAGTGGCTCTAGTTGGTGGTGGGAAACTAGTTCACAGCTTTTCTTTTCTTTTTTTTAATTTTCCAAATAGTCTTCAATGCTTAGGCACTTTTTTCTTTTCTTTTTTTTAATTATGTTATGTCACCATACAGTACATCATTAGTTTTTGATGTAGTGTTCCATAATGCTTAGGCATTAAATACTGAAAACATCATAAAGTAGTTTTAATGACTGTGCCTCAAGTCAGTAAAATTTTACTGGATCCCAGCTGAGTACCATGTAATTGTAAACTGTTTGAAGACAGGCACAATTACTTTTTTAGAGCAAGCTGCTCACGGAATTTATCATCCATCAGAGGAGATTAAAATATGGACACATTTTCACTGTGGTTAATATGGGTCAATGTAAACATTCCCAGGGTTAACCCCACTGGGGTTTGTCTGCCACAATGCTTGGTACTGCTATTGTGAAGCAGGGTCAATACCACACATCAGCAGTAGCTCTTATTAGTCAGGGGGATGAGCTGATAAAAAGGGAATGGTGCAAAAATCTGTGATCTCTTTGAGGCATTTAATATTTTTTCTTATTTGTCCTTTGCTGAATCAGCAAAATAAGGAGTAACTACTTCACCTTGCTTCTTGCAGACATTAAGATGTTATTTAAAGATGGAACATTGTCCATATAGAGGATCATCATGGGTTTGGGCTCAAGGTTACAAAATGCAAGAAGCTTTTTCCTAACAATGACTAATTACTCTTCACCAATTTTAAATTCAGTTTTTACACTTGGACAATGAATAGAGGAATAAAATGGTTAAGAACCCCAAACACTGCTTTAGTTGAATGGTCAATAAAATGAAGGCACGTGTCATATTTATCACTGCTGGTGTTACACACCCAGGGCTTACAAATTGTTTATTGTTAATAATAAAGATGCCCACACGTTGTTGAGTCTAGGCCATATCTTCAGACTGTACTAAGCACAATACCCACATTATCATCCTTAGTTCCATCCTTACAATAACTCTGTGAAGTAGGACTAATATCTCTAGTTAACAAATGGGGAAATAGGGATAGTAAATGGTAGAGATTCGGTATAAACTCAGCTCTGCCCAACTCTAAAACCTCTTAACCAATACACGATCTCTCTATCTTTCTATTGTTAAAAGATGGAGAAGAAAATGCTGCAGTTTTGAATAACTTTCATATATAGTTAATTTAAAAATCATTAACTTTCAGTTACTGTGTAATGATACTTTGGTGTTAGAGATAATAAACCCATGATTGCTGCTGTGTGACAGAGTGTATGGGATGCATTCTCGCAAACACAAAGCTGCAGAATGCAATTTTTAGCAATATTACAAAACAAAAGAATAAATATAGAAGAAAAACACTAGTAAACTATAGGCACAAACTTGTCCATATAAATTCCAGAGTCTTTTAAGTAAGAAAAAAAGTCCTGACTGCTTCTCCCCGTGAGAAGTAAATGTTGCTTTTGACTTCAAGGGTTAAATGCTCTTTCTAGTGCCCCTTATGAGGAAGGTAAATAAGGGAGCCAACTAATTAGTCATTTGAATTGCTTATTTTATTTTTTAAAAATTAAAAAAAATTTAATTTAAATTCAATTAATTAACATATATTGAATTGTTTACTTTAAAGGTATGCTATCTATCCTGGGCAACTGGGAAAAACCACACGTGCAGGGCAGCACAGTCTGCAATCCACGGAGAGCCACTAGAACTTTCTCACTCATGTCCTGCACAGTATTTCCTCACCCCAGCATTTCTGAAATAATTTAAGATTATTTTCATAATCAGTTCCTTGTAAATTCCTCCCTTCAGAGATGGTTTAGTGTCCTTGCAAATCTAAGAGAAACAGAAAGAAATGCTGTGTTTTGTAAATGCTGCCTGCACGTAACTTTTGCATGGTTACAGTCAACCATGAATCTGGTTAAAGACAGTGAGAAGGATGTGCTCTGTGAGCTAGCCCTCATGATAACAGCTTTTAAAGGTGCTAAGACACCAAGAAAGAAACAACATAAAAATGATATAAAAGGACAAGAGTGAGTCTCAGGCGGCTGGTTGGCTCAGTTGATAGAGCATGTGACTCTTGATCTCGGGTGGTGAGTTTGAGCCCCACACTGGGTGTAGAGATTACTAAAAATAAAATCTTTTAAAAAGATCAAGAGTCTAAATGAGATCTGTTAAACAGTGACAATAAAATTCTTACTTAGCACAAATATCTGTTCTACTAGTAGTTGCGTCTTTTCTTGTTTTTGTTGTGAGCTAGACCTGAATGCTTTCTAACCAAAATGCTTGCCATACTTCATGGTACCATATGATACCTATCCTGATATATATTTTTTTAGTTTAAATTCAATTAGGCAACATATAGTACATCATTAGTTTCAGATGTAGAGTTCAATAATTCATCAGTTGCATATAACACCTAGTGCTCGTCCCATCACATGCCCTCTTTAATGCCCATCACCAATTACCCCATCCCCCCCCACCTCCCCTCCAGCAACCCTCAGTTTGTTTCCTAGAGTTAAGAGTCTCTCATGGTTTGTCTCCCTCTCTGATGACTTCCCATTCAGTTTTCCCTCCCTTCCCCTATGATCCTCTGTGCTGTTTCTTATATTCCACATATGAGTGAAATCATATGATAATTGTCTTTCTCTGATTGGCTTATTTTGCTCAGCATAACACCCTCCAGTTCCATCCACTTCAATGTAAAAGGTAAATTTTCATTGTTTCTGATGGCGCATAATATTCCATTGTATATATATACTACATCTTCTTTATCCATTCTTCCGTTGATGGATACCTAGGCTCTTTCCACGTTTGGCTATTGTGGACATTGCTGCTATAAACATTGGGATGCAATGCCCCTTCGGATCACTACATTTGTATCTTTGGGGTAAATACTCAGTAGTGCAATTGCTGGGTTGTAGGGTAGCTCTATTTTCAACTTTTTGAGGAACCTCCATACTGATTTCCAGAGTGGCTGCACCAGCTTGCATTCCCACCAACAGTGTAGGAGGGTTCCCCTTTCTCTGCATCCTCGTCAACATTTGTTGTTTCCTGACTTGTTAATTTTAGCCATTCTGACTGGTGTGAGGTGGTATCTCATTGAGGTTTTGATTTGGATTTCCCTGATGACAAGCGATGTTGAGCATTTTTTCATGTGTCTCTTGTCCATTTGTATGTCTTCTTTGGAGAAGTGTCTGTTCATGTCTTCTGCCTTGTTTCTTTTTTTTATTTATTTTTTTAATTTATTTATTCATGAAAGTGAGAGAGAGAGGGAGAGGCAGAGGGAGAGAAGCAGACTCCCCGCCTAGCAGGGAGCCCGATGCGGGACTCGATCCCAGGACCCTGGGATCATGACCTGAGCCGAAGGCAGACGCTTAACTATCTGAGCCACCCAGGCGCCCCTCTTCTGCCTTGTTTCTGTAGTGTAGTGGTTATCACCTTCACCTCACCTATCCTGATAACTTAATCGGGAAGCAAAGTAACACAAGAAAAGCACAGACATCTCTGCCTTAAAAATCTTGACCATTCATAGTACAAGTTCACTCAACTGTTTATGATTTATTCAAGACTGGCTGAAAGCCAGTAATATTAGGTCAGCTTTTCCCCTTCTGAATACGCTGATGTTCTTACTCAGCTGGAGTTTTAGAGGTGAGAATTTGACAGACTGCCATCCTTTAAATGATAAAACTGCTCCTCTTTGTTGCTTGTTTAAGTCAAGATAGGTTCATAAAGGCAAAAATGAAGCTGAACTTCTCTGTTAGAATCAGAGAAACGAAAAAGAACAGTCCACATCAGCCTTTTGGGGAGAAATTCTGGAGACAGAATGCATTGGGAATCAGGACCCTTAGTTTCATTCATGTTGATTTTCAAGAGTGCCTCAAAAATAAAGGAACAGTAAAAAAGCTCCTGCATGTAATTATAAGATTTAATGAGAGAATGGGGATAATTCTTTCCACTAGGACAAGATTACTTCTGGTAAAATGGATGCACCATAATGTAACTCAGGTCTCCACAGTTCTATACTTATCCATAACACAGCTCCTTTGCCTCCTCCTCCCTTGTTAATCTCACATATTGCCAACGACCTGTTTTCCTGACTAGGTTGGAAGCCTCTCTGCAGGGAGAGATCATATCTTATTCATCCCTGCATCCCCTAAAGCACTCAGAACCTGTGCACCTCACAGAAGCACCTGGTGTTGTCGCAGGACATCATGGTTTTCCAACAGCTAGATTATCTTATTTGACCTTTGAGTCAAGGTCATTTGGGAGGCCATGAGGGATCCTTAACACTGGGTTATGGAGATGAAAAACCCAATAGCTGAGTTGCTGGCCCCAGGATTACACAGTCACTAAAAAGCTAGAAACCAGGCCTTCTGATTTCTACTTGGATGTCCTTTCCACTCTGTCTTGATATTAAAGACATTTAA